AAAAAAATTAGAGAAAATATATTAATTCAGGAAAACTTGGCTTATTAGGCAAATCGGGCCTTGCATAGTCGGCTGAGAAGTGCGTTCTGGCTACTAGGTACGACACACATATATATATATATATATATATATATATATATATATATATATATATATATATATATATATATATATATATATATATATATATTGACTTGTGTGCCCTGCTCTAGAGGGCACACGTGGATGGCTCATAAAGAGCCAATGAATGTTGCTAGCTAGATTTGGCGGGTAGATTAGGGATATTGCATTTAGTTATATGAGTCAGGTGTATAATGTTTGTTGCCAGATGTATTGGATAATTGCTGGGCTCTCAGCTGACAGTCGGGATAAATGCTGAAATTGGTAATTTTTGTATTTATGATTTTTCAACAATCAGCCGAACAATCTGACGATTGTAATTTAATAGATAAGATAGCAAATTTATAGAGGCATAGGATTTATCTATTGTATAAAATAAGGGTTTGGATACTAAACCTCACTTTTTATGATATTAAAAAAAAAGGTTTATTAAATGTACTTGAGCAGGGGAGGTTGTAACAAGCTAAACTGGTCCTTAGAAATTGAAATTGAAATTGAAATTGAAATAAGTTTATTGAGGTAAAATACACACAAAGGGATGAGGTAGCTCAAGCTATTCTCACCCCGTTCAGTACAACGTGTTAATATATACATAGACACACGTCACAAACAATAAACATATTACCAAACATTCTGAGAGATAAACATATACTTTCCTCCTTCACAAGTAGTATGTTATCAGACGTACACACAAATACTTTTATGACCCAGGTCTTAGAAATTATTGATCTCAGATCATTGGGATTAAATTGTACCTCGTGGTTGTACACAAGTTGCAGTGAGAGAGGAGTTTTACCTGACTAGTCGGAGAAAAGGTCACTGGCCACGGATTAAGAGATTAGCAAGTTTAGAAAACCAGAACGCCTGGCTCTCTGGTATTATTAAAACAAGCGATAAATATTTCTATATATACAGTGATTGCAGGATAACCAATCTAGTTTAAGTATGTATGTTAGGTTAACATGACTGTAGAATGAAGATCAAGGTCAAGGAATTATACCAGTCTCTGGGGTGTAGTGGTAAGACACTCGCCTGGCGTTCCGCGAGCGCTATGTCAAGGGTTCGTATCCTGGCCGGGGAGGATTTACTGGGCGCAATTCCTTAACTGTAGCCTCTGTTTAACGCAACAGTAAAATGTGTACTTGGTTGTAACAAGGATTCTTCGCGGCGGGGATCGTATTCCAGGGACCTGCCCGAAACGCTACGCGTACTAGTGGCTCTACAAGAATGTAACAACTCTTGTATATATCTCAAAAAAAAAAAAGTTCGTATACTGTTACAGAGAAATTGACGTCAGTTTGAGAGGGCACCAGTTCGCCGGGCGACGTATCTGACCTTCCAGGGGTCAAGGTTAGGCGCCCGACGTACCCAACCTCTCATATTATTAATTCATAAAGTATAAATTCAGGTCACTAGTCAATATTGTAACTGGATATAGCCTTTTCCAAGATGCTTATAGTTTGCATATACTATACTTTCCAAGATGCTTATAGTTTGCATATACTATACTTTCCAAGATGCTTATAGTTTGCATATACTATACTTTCCAAGATGCTTATAGTTTGCATATACTATACTTTCCAAGATGCATATAGTTTGAAACTGATTACCATCAGTTTCAATAAGAATTCAACCATCTGGGTTGGGCAGGAAATAAGATTACCTTGTTCAGGTTAACCCAGCTTGGTAATTAATAGCCAGGCGGAGTAATATTAGATGTGCAGGCGATGAGTCCCAATAACGTGGCTAAAGTATGTTGACCAGACCACACACTAGAAGGTAAAGGGACGACGACGTTTCGGTCCGTCCTGGACCATTCTCAAGTCGATTTAATATTAGGTAGCCTCAGCCTGGAACACGGGACAGGCTAGCAGTGTGGCGTGGAGCAGCCTGGGGTCACCATCTCAACCCTCAAGCAGCCAGACCAACATCAGCTTGGGACTTACAATACTACTGTAAAGTGCTTAAGAGTTGGTACAGTTAATTCTTAATCATTTGCCTCTTAGGAATATTTCAGTTAGGAAGTATTAAGTTAGGGAGTGAGTCCTTTTATTATCATTCGGTAAGCTTTGTTTTAATAAATCTTGTTTAGTATTTATGGTATTTTTGAGTTTTATCATAAATATATATGCTTATCTTTACTGTGGCCTCCACGAGTCTGGTTTATTAGACTGAGTCAGTATATATATTACAGGCAAGCCTAGTCTATTTTAATATCAGATATATCACCTTGTTTTCGATTGAGTTCCACACTGAACGTAAAGTCATATCTCCCTTTCCAATTAATTGGGGATTAACCACCCCAAGGAATTAATGGTAAATTAATTGGTCCAAACCACAATTAATTAATCGTCACGATCGTGTAGGTTTGGTGGTGGCAGCAAGAGAAGGTCCTTGAGTTTCCTAGGGGCCCAGTACAGGGTTAGTGTATTTGTAGCATCTAAGGCGGTCAATCTTCTAAGATTACGAGGAGCAGGACGGAGGGCTGAGAGTAGAGCTCTGAGGTCTTTAAGATAAGTTGACTAAGGGCTGAGTAGAGGACGAAGGAGAGATATTATCCAGGACCCGTTACAACCTCACACACCTGCCTCACCTCACACACCAACCTCACCTCACACACCTGCCTCACCTCACACACCAACCTCACCTCACACACCTGCCTCACCTCACACACCAACCTCACCTCACACACCAACCTCACCTCACACACCTGCCTCACCTCACACACCTGCCTCACCTCACACACCAGCCTCACCTCACACACCTGCCTCACCTCACACACCAACCTCACCTCACACACCTGCCTCACCTCACACACCAACCTCACCTCACACACCAGCCTCACCTCACACACCTGCCTCACCTCACACACTTGCCTCACCTCACACACCTGCCTCACCTCACACACCTGCCTCACCTCACACACCAGCCTCACCTCACACACCAGCCTTACCTCACACACCTGCCTCACCTCACACACCTGCCTCACCTCACACACCAACCTCACCTCACACACCTGCCTCACCTCACACACTTGCCTCACCTCACACACTTGCCTCACCTCACACACCTGCCTCACCTCACACACCTGCCTTACCTCACACATTTAATACTAATATTTTGTACAATAGTTTCATAACTGTTTTTAGGAACTAAGATATTCTAGTTTCCCTTTTTAATTGCCAAGCCAAACGAGGGTGAAAATAACTCTACCCATTTGTTTTCCCCTCCGCCGGGAATCGAACCCGGAACTGTAGGACGACGAATCCCAAGTGCTGTCCACTCAGCCGTCAGGCCCTGGTGGGTGCACTTGTACCCCAAGGTTGCAATTCTTTGATCATGTCGTGGCGCAGTCGACTAGAGCTTGCACCTGGGGAACACCCCAGCGCATAGGTTCGAATCCTCATCACGGCTCCGATAAATTTGATCATTTATATATTACGATAATGTGTGTGTGTGTGTGTGTGTGTGTGTGTCGTATTGGGAATAATATCCTGCCCATCACACCACCAAACTTCAACGTTTGGGCAACTTGTAACTAGCTTCTAACAAGCAGTAACGAGTATCTAACAAGTTGTAACAACTCTCTAACACATCATAACAACCTTATAACAAGATGTGACAAGTTGTAACAATAGGGACCGTTACGATGTGTGTGGACAGGGATAGTAGTAACGCTAATTAATAATAGTATTAATAGTTATAATTGTATTAATGTTAATATCTCAGGAGAAATGGTGAAGAGAAGTAATCTAATCACTACAAGTGGTTCGACTGAACTACAAGTGGTTCGACTGAACTACAAGTGGTTCGACTGTACTACAAGTGGTTCGACTGTACTACAAGTGGTTCGACTGTACTACAAGTGGTTCGACTGTACTACAAGTGGTTCGACTGAACTACAAGTGGTTCGACTGAACTACAAGTGGTTCGACTGTACTACAAGTGGTTCGACTGTACTACAAGTGGTTCGACTGAACTACAAGTGGTTCGACTGAACTACAAGTGGTTCGACTGTACTACAAGTGGTTCGACTGTACTACAAGTGGTTCGACTGTACTACAAGTGGTTCGACTGTACTACAAGTGGTTCGACTGAACTACAAGTGGTTCGACTGAACTACAAGTGGTTCGACTGTACTACAAGTGGTTCGACTGTACTACAAGTGGTTCGACTGTACTACAAGTGGTTCGACTGTACTACAAGTGGTTCGACTGTACTACAAGTGGTTCGACTGAACTACAAGTGGTTCGACTGAACTACAAGTGGTTCGACTGTACTACAAGTGGTTCGACTGTATTACAAGTGGTTCGACTGTACTACAAGTGGTTCGACTGTACTGCAAGTGGTTCGACTGTACTACAAGTGGTTCGACTGTACTACAAGTGGTTCGACTGTACTGCAAGTGGTTCGACTGTACTACAAGTGGTTCGACTGTACTACAAGTGGTTCAACTGTACTACAAGTGGTTCAACTGTACTACAAGTGGTTCGACTGTACTACAAGTGGTTCAACTGTACTACAAGTGGTTCGACTGTACTACAAGTGGTTCGACTGTACTACAAGTGGTTCGACTGTACTACAAGTGGTTCGACTGTACTACAAGTGGTTCGACTGTACTACAAGTGGTTCAACTGTACTACAAGTGGTTCAACTGTACTACAAGTGGTTCGACTGTACTACAAGTGGTTCGACTGTACTACAAGTGGTTCAACTGTACTACAAGTAACAGCAGGAGAACAGGAGTGACATTAGCAGTCATGGCAACATTAGAGGAAGGAATTATTATATTCAAATTCGTTCATTTGACGTTAAATTTAGTTGTAAACATCAGGAAGGTTAAGAAGGGGTCAGGTGGAAGTGAAGAGTGAGGAGCTCACCAGGTTAAGGAGGAAGACGTTGGTGATGGTCCTCATCTTGCGGTTCTGGAGGAGTGTGACGATCACCAGCGTGTTGCCCACTACTCCCAGCAGGAAGATAATGACGTAGCAAGGGATTCGAACCGAGCCTTCGGTGTCTAGGAGAGGTACGGAGGATGTTTGACCTCCTCCGCCAGGTTTCTTGCTGGCGGAGGTGTCTCTCATCTCTCTGTCCGCCTGGTGAGGCGCGCCGGTCGGTGGCACCTCCTGCAGGTTGTACTCATTCGAAGCTTCGTGGGTCGCGGCTTCTCTCGCGGAGTTCGAAGCATTATCCTTTAAATACTGAACTCTCCGCGAACCACCACTTCTCTCTATGTTGTTGGCTCTGTATGTATGGTAGAGGCGGTCTTGTTTCTCCTGCTGGCCACCGTTGCTGTGTATTTTGTCTATGTTGAACCCGCTTGGCGAATCAAACTCACTGTGGTCAAAAATAATCTCGGTTTGATACGGAATTGGACGCTTGTGATTAAGTACAGATTCTTCGCCCTTGTGGCTCTCCTCCTTGTAATGTGTTTGGCCTTCTTGGGCTCCAGCGATAGATGCTGATGGCTGCTTCTGACTGGAGTTCGAGTCATCTCTCGTGTGCTGAGATTTAACGTCGGCTTCTGTACGGGTCAGCAACGAGGAAGCCTCATCAGCATCACTGCCAGAACTGAATTTATCCATTAGGAAGTTTTGGTGAAGGTCTGTGGGATATGGTAGCGAGGGACTCTGCCTCCACCTGGCCACACCCAGCTCGGTGTTGTATGGTCTGACGCGGCCAACGGTAAACTTGGAGTGTGGTCGGGTACTTGAGCCCCGGAGTGGGTGTTCCAGGGGTGTGTTGGCCTCCTCAACACCTCTTCTGCCCGACACTACTGCCTGCTTTGATCTTTTCTTTTCACATTCAGAATTTTCAACTATTTCCCCTTTACTTGTTTTGATTTGGGGTTCTTCGCGGCGCGTAATGGCAGACGTCTCTCCCTTCGGGGACGGAGGTAACTTGGCCGTTATTTTTACAGCTCCTGCTATAACTCTTGCCACACCTGTCACTCTTTCATCTCCTCCCCTCGCCACACCTGTCATTGTTCCAGCATCACGCCTCGCCACACCTTTCACTGTTCCAGCCTCACGCCTCGCCACACCTGTCACTGTTCCAGCCTCACGCCTCGCCATACTTGTCACTGTTCCAGCCTCACGCCTCGCTACACCTGTCACTGTTCCAGCCTCACGCCTCGCCATACTTGTCACTGTTCCAGTCTCACGCCTCGCTACACCTGTCATTGTTCCAGCCTCACGCCTCGCTACACCTGTCACTGTTCCAGCCTCACGCCTCGCTACACCTGTCACTGTTCCAGCCTCACGCCTAGCTACACCTGTCATTGTTCCAGCCTCACGCCTTGCTACACCTGTCATTGTTCCAGCCTCACGCCTCGCCGTACTTGTCACTGTTCCAGCTCTTTTCCTCGCCACACCTGTCATTGTTGCAGCCTCACTCCTCGCCACACCTGTCATTGTTGCAGCTTCACGCCTCGCCACACCTGTCATTGTTGCAGCCTCACGCCTCGCCACACCTGTCATTGTTGCAGCCTCACGCCTCGCCACACCTGTCATTGTTCCAGCCTCACTCCTCGCCACACCTGTCATTGTTCCAGCCTCACTCCTCGCCACAGTCTCTCCTCTCATACCAGCTAAACTGGTGTTGTCTTTCTCCATGTCATTATAATTAGTCACAGACATGTTGGACACTACTCGACTCATTACGAACTTTATGTTAGTGTCGAGAATTGGATTTTTCCTGAGCGTCAGTTGATTTTTAATTTCAGTTTTATTGTCTATATCTGTCATTCTTTCCCCTTTAGGTTTACTGTAAATATTTCTATACATTTTCACTAAAGTCGATACAAAATTATCACTCATTCTCACTTTTTTATTTCCTCGACTTACAGCTTTTTTCACTCTGTCACTGATTTTTGAGTTTAGTAGTTTATGCATTTGGTCTGTCTTTTTATTTTCCTGAAATCTTAAGGTAACATCACCCAAACTGTTTTTCGATTTCTTTGACGCTGTCTGCCGACCCGATCTGTCGTGGCTGTGGCTCACCCGATCACCGGAGGCTGATGGCGGGTCAGAGAGCTCAGGGCGACCCACAGCATCGCTGCCTTCAAACCACAAGCCTTGGGACCTCTCACTCGCGTGGCCTGAAACATTGTGATCTTGGGAATACTTAGAATAAATTACGAATTTGGTGTATTCAAGAGGATTCAGCGATGAGACAGGGAGAAATATCATACCACGGGATCTGTAACTTCGAAGTCGTTGTCGCGTCGTTCTTTTTGTGCGCACGTTTGCGATTGTGAAATGCTTTAGGGGTACGGTGGGTATGGGCAGTAGGGCGTTGATGGAGGAGATGAGTTGGTAAAGCGTTTGGAGCATCGGCTTTGGCTCGGTGAGCGACAGCAATCGTTGTTTAGGTCCTTGGGGCTGTGTTACTCCCGGAAGGTCCTCCAGGTCCCTGTTCTCGAGGGCGGAGGACACGCTAGAGAACACAGAGTCACTCGTTATGACCCGTCTCACTGGAGGCTCCATGTATCCCAAAGCGCTGGCGGCCTGGTGAGCGCTGATACTTCCCCCGACGGAGACAAGAGTCTGGAGGGCGAGAATGGCCAAGGAAGGAAGTACAGATGAAGAGACATGTGACGAAGGCGGCACCAGGGAAATAAAGAATACCATTTTAATAGTCTGAGTAACCGCAGGAGGCGGTGGACCGGAGAGCCATAGTCACTCCTTCACCTTGATCTTGACGAGAGAGACAAAGATTCTTCATATATCTATCCTTTTCACCAATGGATTCGAAGGCAGATAATAGGCCCTACCATCTTCGCGACACAAGCCATGTTTCTTGCCCCAAAAAAATGTCTTCATCTTGCCAAAACTGAACAATAATAGTTTGTTTGGTCCGGGCTTCTCAGCCGCAGTCTCGTTGTGCGACAGCCATTGTCATTTGCTCCTTATTCACACTTTATTAATTATGTTCTTGAGGTTCAACACCGCCAATATTTCCATAACAGGTGTTACCGCCCGCACGACCGCAGCCGCACCCATGGTGTACCATGTTGACGGTCAGCCTTGACCGCTCTAGGTGACAGGTGGTAGGATGCCCACACGGCCAGGGGAGCCCTCTAGATGATTGACAAGGCCTGGTGAGCCCTCTAGATGATTAACAAGGCCAGGGGAGCCCTCTAGATGATTGACAAGGCCTGGTGAGCCCTCTAGATGATTAACAAGGCCAGGGGAGCCCTCTAGATGATTGACAAGGCCTGGTGAGCCCTCTAGATGATTAACAAGGCCAGGGGAGCCCTCTAGATGATTGACAAGGCCTGGTGAGCCCTCTAGATGATTGACAAGGCGTGGTGAGCCCTCTAGATGATTGACAAGGCCTGGTGAGCCCTCTAGATGATTGACACGGCTCACCTAGCCGTGTCAATTACCTACAGATGACTGAGGCGGCCAGGTGAGGACTCCAGGTGCTACATGAGGACAGTCCACCACAGGGACGTGAGTGATAAAACGGGGACAAGATCAAATATTTATATATGGGAATTTGGGTGTTGCAAGTGAGTGGGGTCCAGGTGAGTGGGGTCCTGGTGAGTGGGGTCCTGGTGAGTGGGGTCCAGGTGAGTGGGGTCCAGGTGAGTGGGGTCCTGGTGAGTGGGGTCCTGGTGAGTGGGGTCCAGTCCAGGTGGTGAGGTGAGGGGGTCCTGGTGAGTGGGGTCCTGAGTGAGTGGGGTCCTGGTGAGTGGGGTCCAGGTGAGTGGGGTCCTGGCAAGTGGGGTCCTGGTGAGTAGTGGGGTCCTGGTGAGTGGGGTCCAGGGAGTGGGGTGAGGAGGAGTGTGTAGCGAGGCGAGTGAGGCAGTGAGGGAGCGCGCGTCACACCGACCTCCTCCCGACGACACCAACTGGCGACTGACTCAGACACGGGTCCTCACTCCCTCCCACCTCCCATTACTCCCTCCCTCCATTACTCCCTCCCTCCAAGCACTACTCCATCCATCACGTTGTGGGGTAATAATTTAAACAACAACAAACTAGTAGCAGACACACCACCTCCGCTAACACCACAACGACCCTAGTAAACACTCACCAGGACTCGAGACATCATTACGGGCTATTCATGCCCGTGCCACCTCTTGGGTGGCTTCATCTTTATCTTTATCGAGACATTACCTCACTATGTGTCGGGGAACGTCAGGCTCAACTACACGTCACGTGCTCACGCCCATCGTGACGTGCTCACGCCCATCGTGACGTGCTCACGTCCGTCATAGACTATGCCGCACCAGTATTGTACACCTACTCCCAAAGCGATATGAAAAGGCTCGAAGCATAGAGAATAAGTCATGACAATCATTCTTGGAGTTCCAAGAACTGCCAAATCGTCTAATCTACGAGAGGAGTTGTCCCTTCCCAGTGTTAAATGCAGAATTAAGGAACTGCAGAATGCTAAGCTTGCAATTATGATAGCCAGAGATCCCCATTACAATGATATTGCCAAGAAAAGACTGAGTTCTGTGTTACTTTCAGGGGTAAACAGGAGAAGCAGAAAATGGCATCACAGATCAGTCTGCTACCTCGAAGAGCTTCACCTGCTTGAGCAAGCCCGTGAGCTCCTGCCTGTAGAGAGGTTACCTCCCTGGGAGGATGACTCATGCAGGATTATCATCAATGAATGGCAACGAAAAAGTCCAACATGATAACACAAGAAATGAGGCACAAGTATCTCGAGGAAATTTATAAAGAAGCCGGAGATGAACTAGATCAAATCTACACTGACGGGTCATCTAATCCTGTCAATGGCAGGGTTGGTGCAGCATACACGGTAATTAGGAATAATGATTTTCAACGCAGAAATGAAGAGAAAGCCCGTATTGAGAACTGTGCCTCTTCAACGCAAGCAGAGCTAACTGCTATTGTTATGGCGTTAAGGTTCCTTGAAAGAAACACTAATGGCGCAGTGATCTGCACTGACTGAAAAGCAGCACTTCAAAGCCTAAGTAAAAATCGGGCCGAAAATCTTGCAATAGTCGCTGAAATTTAGAGAGCTGTGAGGGTACAAACCAACCAGGGAAGAGTCATCAAGTTTCTGTGGATCCCCTCCCATGTTGGGGATCCCCTCCCATGTTGGGGATCCCCTCCCATGTTGGGGATCCCCTCCCATGTTGGGGATCCCCTCCCATGTTGGGGATCCCCTCCCATGTTGGGGATCCCCTCCCATGTTGGGGATCCCCTCCCATGTTGGAATATGTGGGAATGAACGAGCAGATGTGCTGGCTGCTGAAGGCGCTGAAGGAGACCATATTGAATACTTCATACCCAAGACTCAACTACAAATTAGAGGTATTATCAGGCAACATCACCGTGACAAGGTAACTGAGGAAAGGAGGATAGAAGCACAAACCAGTGAATCTGTACGATGGTACAACATGGTTGCAGCTGGCAATCCCAATCATTATGGCCGAAGAGGAGGAGGACGAGGGAGAGAATCAGTAATAGCGAGAATTCGTCTGGGATACAAATATCCATGGAGATTCGGAATGGAAACAACAGTTGATCAGCGAAGTTGCAGAATCTGTGGTGAGAGTGATGGACACCGCCTTGAACACTATCTATCGTGAATGTGAACACCTGAGAGACATTAGGAATATGTGTAGAATAATAAACCCCACATTGTTTGAGTTAGGAAAACACTATTTGTCAAATATTGATACTGTTCTTAAAAGATTCCGCCATTTTGCATTAGCAAGATAACGTAAGATTTTAAGGGTTAACAGATGTTAATCTTCTTGTTCGATGAACTGTTCACTTGAGACAGTTAAGCAAGTCCCAGCTGTGTCTGGGTACAAGTGACAGGATGAACAACCCAGCGGGTTTTCTTCCTATTGGGGAGTGTTGTACATGCTGCTATGGCGGTATGTCCACTCACAGGATGAGTGGCGCTGCCCAATAAACTCGCCCCTCGAGGCAAAATTTAAAAATTTTAAAAATTTATCACTGCTGCCATATTCACTCTAGTGTTGATGATGATATCCTCATAATGCACCCAGAGTCTGCCAGTGCAGACTACTTATCACATGGCCCTCTATGACTAACCTTCCTGTGTGATGGGGATTTTTACCATCACGTAGCTAGCTTTATGACACACTGTACTCCCCTTCATATAGTCTAGGGCAGCTGCACACTGTACTCCCCTTCATATAGTCTAGGGCAGCTGCACACTGTACTCCCCTTCATATAGTCTAGGGCAGCTGCACACTGTACTCCCCTTCATATAGTCTAGGGCAGCTGCACACTGTACTCCCCTTCATATAGTCTAGGGCAGCTAGCACACACACTGTACTCCCCTTCATATAGTCTAGGGCAGCTGCACACACACTGTACTCCCCTTGATATAGTCTAGGGCAGCTGCACACACACTGTACTCCCCTTCATATAGTCTAGGGCAGCTGCACACACACTGTACTCCCCTTCATATAGTCTAGGGCAGCTGCACACATACTGTACTCCCCTTCACATAGTCTAGGGCAGCTGCACACATACTGTACTCCCCTTCATATAGTCTAGGGCAGCTGCACACACACTGTACTCCCCTTCATATAGTCTAGGGCAGCTGCACACACACTGTACTCCCCTTCATATAGTCTAGGGCAGCTGCACACACACTGTACTCCCCTTCATATAGTCTAGGGCAGCTGCACACACACTGTACTCCCCTTCATATAGTCTAGGGCAGCTGCACACACACTGTACTCCCCTTCATATAGTCTAGGGCAGCTGCACACACACACTGTACTCCCCTTCATATAGTCTAGGGCAGCTGCACACACACTGTACTCCCCTTCATATAGTCTAGGGCAGCTGCACACACACTGTACCCCCTTCATATAGTCTAGGGCAGCTGCACACATACACTGTACTCCCCTTCATATAGTCTAGGGCAGCTGCACACATACTGTACTCCCCTTCATATAGTCTAGGGCAGCTGCACACATACTGTACTCCCCTTCATATAGTCTAGGGCAGCTGCACACTGTACTCCCCTTCATATAGTCTAGGGCAGCTGCACACTGTACTAGGGCAGCTGCACACTGTACTCCCCTTCACATAGTCTATGGCAGCTGCACACTGTACTCCCCTTCACATAGTCTAGGGCAGCTGCACACTGTACTCCCCTTCACATAGTCTAGGGCAGCTGCACACTGTACTCCCCTTCACATAGTCTAGGGCAGCTGCACACTGTACTCCCCTTCACATAGTCTAGGGCAGCTGCACAAATGCACACGTACCTAAATGTGTTTATATAAATGAAAAGTGTCCTGTCAATCAGTTTCCCAACAATCACTCATTATTAAGCATGCAGGACAACATTATTATCTCTTATCAAATATCTCACAGGGGACAAGAGCAAAGAAATCTCTAAAAATAAAACATTAAGATAAAAGAAATACAATAAATACATATGATACGACAACGTGAGATCCTAAATTCACTTCCCGATCCTAGGCTGTGCCGCTGCCTCGCCAACACTACAGGTATAATAATACTAATAAAATGATAAGACTAATCTTTATTCAGATAAAAGTACATACAAAATGAGTTACAAGAAGGATGTTGGATTTCTAGAAGGAGCTAGTATATAGTATCCTTAAAGCCACTAACATGTTTCGGGCAACCTGGATTGACTCTGCACGTGTATGTATATGTAAATGGGAATATATATATATATATATATATATATATATATATATATATATATATATATATATATATATATATATATATAGAATTGCAAGAATTATCGCCTAACATAAATATACATTTTTGTATATTTATGTTAGGTGATGTTGGAGGGTGAAGAGCCTCCCCTAACCCCCCAACCCCCCTCTAGGCTACTGTCCTTGTCTTGATCAATCTTACAAGATACAAATCTTGTTATCACTATCAGTGTCTATGTCAAATAAAACTGAATTTTTCACTTCAATTCACTACGTCACTTGTAACAATTACAGTGATAGCACCAAACAGGTAAAAGTCCAGATCCCACCAGTACACCGTCCACCACAGTACACCGTCCACCACTACACCGTCCACCACTACACCGTCCACCACTACACCGTCCACCACCACTACACCGTCCACCACCACCACACCGTCCACCACTACACCGTCCACCACCACTACACCGGCCACCACTACACCGTCCACCACCAATACACCGTCCACCACCACCACACCGTCCACCACCACCACACCGTCACCACTCACCGTCCACCACCCGGCCACCACTACACCGTCCACCACCAATACACCGTCCACCACCACCACACCGTCCACCACCACCACACCGTCCCACTACACCACCACTACACCGTCCACCACCACTACACCGTCCACCACCACTACACCGTCCACCACCACTACACCGTCCACCACTACACCGTCCACCACCACTACCACCGTCCACCACCACTACACCGTACACCACCACTACACCGTCCACCACTACACCACCACCACCCGTCCACCACTACACCGTACACCGTCCACCACCACTACACCGTCCACCACTACACCGTCCACCACCACTACACCGTCCACCACCACCACC